CCGGTGATCTCCTTTGAGCCTCTCCGCCCCCTCTATCTCAAACCTTTCTCATCTCCATCTTCCGTTATCGTGCTCAGAGACTCAAAATCCAACAGGTTCAGGCTTTGCAACCTAAAACTTGCTATGGACAGCAAATGGGTCTGGGTCTTGTTGATCCTTGCTCATCATTGAGGTACCGCTAACACCACTCTCAACCCACATGTTTTGAGTTTCTTCCAGATATTCAGATTGACCTAAAATGGTTCAACCTGCTGACAAAACATTTATTTATGTGGAAAACTTATTTTAAAGGTGCTAAAGGTGGTGCAATTTAGAGGTTCACATAAAAACTTTCTTAATCAAAGCATTCTCTTTTCCCTTTCTGTATGTGGATACAGTGCTGTTAAAATGCATAGAGGCCTCCTGGTGTCAATTTGATAGCCAAAACTACTTGGAAGTTTGGTTGACAGGAAAGCATTCAAGTGATGATCAGAACAAAATTCATCCACCCCTCTCCACTCCCTTCACAAGAGTTGGAATCTGGTTTGTTTGATTGGGACTTGATCCTTGTGAGACATGCTCATAATAGGATGGTTCACATCAGGAAATTGTAACTTTGGTGATTTTAGAAATCAGCAAGGGCTGGTGCATTGAGTTGAAGCTTATTCACTTTTTGCTGATTTATAGCCTATGTGAACCATGCTAATATAAATATAGGGATGTGCAAGGTAAACCTAGAGTGGCTCCCTCAGTGCCAGAAAGCAAATAACTTATTATCACCAGCACTGCAAAAAAAAACACGCTCATGCCTGCAGTTGACATGCAGGCTCCAGCCAAGCTGTCAGCCAAACTCCACCTGTTTGCATGTGTAGATTTTTTGTGTCAGCTTGCTACTATACAGAGATAAGCAGCAGTAGTAACAAGAAATAATTGATTATTGTTTCTAAATAAAATAACAAAATATGTAACAAAAACTGTGTTTAGTGCAATAAATCATTAAATATTATTTAACCAATGAATTCTACGTGTAAATTAACCTAGGGTCACTCCCCACAACCATAATCATAGGAGTGA